AAAGAAAAAAAAACAAATGGAGAACAACGAAAGAGAGAGAGAGAGAGAAGGAGAAAGGGACGGCGTAGAGAGGTGGCCAGGTAGACGCCATAGTTATTTATTTTCCCGCGGCTGATTATAATATTACGCAAGCCGGCGGTATACGCTCGCGTAATGCGGATGCAAATGCGACAGAGACGAGTTATACCGAGTCGACTCGGCGAAATCTTCGGCCCGGAGCCGTATTTTATTCATACGCCGCGCGCGATGCCCTACCTGGCTGTCTGCTCTGCGTTCATGGATATTTATATATCATACGTACGCCCGCGTGCATTATTGAGTAGATGATGCCTGTCATCATAATGTCTAATATTTGCAAGGAAAAAAATATATCGCGCGATTGCGATGACGCCTAATGATCTATCATCGCGATGCAATCTCGATGAAAATCTCGCGAATTGCGAGATACATATTCGCGATACGATATCATTGTATATACCGTGCGCGCGTGCATGTGTATTTTGCATTCGCGGTTAGGAAACATTAAAAAATATTCTAGTCGCGAGTCGCGAAATGCGTATATAGAAAACGATCTTTAATCCGATGAATAAACACATTATTCTTACGCTACTTGCATTACTTACGATTCCATTCGTCGTACACCGCTTATTCCCGCCGCGTATATGCATTCCGAGCGCGGATGTACGTACACGCACGCACGTAATGTACGCACTGCCGTGCGCAAGATGCGTTTATGTAACGCGTGCAGCAAAGACATGTAAACGCGCGACGACACGGACGAGGGAGTCCCTCCGCGCTGTGTGTTTCGCATAACGACATATTATTTATATAAGCGACGTTGTCTCGACAAATCGTTCTACTCTCGCAAATTACTCGGAATATAGACGGGCGTAAGTAATAGCTATCCAGCGCGCAGGAACGCAACTCGCGGCGAAATTTCGCATGGTATTTTCAGCAAATTCATGCAGATTTCAATGTAACTCGGTATCCGCTAAATTAGAGAGACTCGACAACAATAAATAGCAAACGTGTAGTTGCGTGCAGATAGAAGATTAAAACAAATAAAGTAAGAAGAATGAACGAATAAAGAACGAAACGAAAAAATAAAAAATTAAAGTAATATCCCGAAAAGTGTGTGCGCATCACGGAAAATGAAATTAACGTTGTCGATTTAATTTCACACGAAAGATTTGGAAAACATCTTTGCGCCAACGCGATGTTGCTTGTCAAAAAATTTTTATCATTTTATTTCTCGGCGTACTATCCGTCGTTTGCATCCCCAGATCCGCAATTTCGGTAAAATATCTAGAGTGTCGGAAATAAAATTTGTCCGAAACACGCGGCTCGTCGTAATATGTGAGGGAAGGAAGAATGTAAAAATATTCCGATTATATTGCTAAACTCTTTAAAGCACACAGGTAAAAAAACTCGACAGAGCGGAAGAGAGACGGATAGGTAGATAGATAGATAGACAGATAGAGCGGACGGCGGTTTATTATGTTCCGGGTGGGAACCCACGAGAACAATATACTCGGGATATACACGTAAGTGGTGTAAAATGACGGGCCAGAAAATTCGAAAATAACAGAGAAATGCAAATCTAGAAAGACACCGAATCCAATTTGGCGACGATGCAATTAAGATGCGGAAAACAAATGAACGCAAGTAACGATCGCGTATAAAAAAATAAAGTAGTGAATTTTATTATAGGAAGGGAGAGGACACAATGGGAGAAGGAAAAGAGAAAGAGAAAATGAAAGAGAGAGAGAGAGAGAAAAGTTTATTTAGCGAGAACGAGAAAGAAGGAGGATACGTGGGGGAGGAAGGATGGAAACGCGCGGACGGCGAGCGCGTTTTAAGCGTCGTCGATCAATTAAATCCTTAATAAAAGGACTTCGTAACCAGATTTCGCTTACGAGATAATAATGCGCATTACGGCAGCTCTCGGATGCGTGAGACGACTCGCACGCACGTATGCATGCACGCGTGCACGCACGTACGCACACACGCACTCACTCACGACTCACGATTCACGCACTCGTATACACGCGGCATAAACACACGTAACGCGCGCGAACGCTTCGCTCGCCTTCCATCGTGTGTATATACATCGGGTGTCCCGGCCGGAAGCGCGCGCGGCCTCGCGCCGGCGTAACGTTATTTTCTAATTTCCCATTCATGGGCTACCGTTTAGTTTCGATTTGCCGCTTCGTTACGACGCCCGGAGATTTACACCGTCAGATAGGATTGTTGCACGCCGTCACTTTCCCCGCTCCCCTCCTCCTTTTCCTTCTCCTCGCCTCGTTTTATATAACCATCTTTCGTCACCGCGAACGCGATCTCCCTCTAGATATCTGGCTCCGCGATAATCTTTTCTTTCTGCTTCTTTTTTTCTGCGTTTCTTTCCTTTTTTTCATTCGTCCGCCGGTCTTTCCTGGAAGATAATGCTCGGCCGCGCACTTTGCATTTCAAATGCGAGAGAGCCGGACGGACCGGAGGATCGATCGCGAATCGCAAGCGTACCGACTAACAACGCTAAAAGGGAATAATTTCGACGGCGATGCCGGGCGATTAGGCGCTAGTAGGTGCAACGCGTTGCAGCGCGGTAGATTGCACTTTGTGTTGCAACGCGCGCCGTTGAATTCGAAGACGAGACCGTGATCTTACAGTTAATTAATTTGCTAATGAGACTAAAATATTTCTATGTTTGTTTCCTGAATACAGAAGGTATTTCTTCCTCTTGTGGAAATAAATGATTATCGTGCTAAATTCATTTTAATGGAACTTGCTTCTCTTGGATATTTATTTTTTTGCATCGGCGGCTGACTTTTCGGCGAGAATTTTCTAGATCCAGCCCTGGTATAATTTAAAGTGAGGAGCGCGCTCGCTAATTTAAAATAACGAGCCGCGGAAATCTGCGCGTCGTCGTCTACGACTCGGCGACGCGGCGTCCGCATTTTTCACGAGGACAAACCTCCGCGTGTCCCTCGAAGTGGACCGAAGTCCGTCGCCATCTGATGAAGGTAAATTTTTATTGGTGCTCGATAAGGGAAACGAGAGAGAAATTTTATCGCTTCTTCCGCGACCACGAAACGAACGAAGGGAAAGAAAGCCGGGATTATACAGGGTGCGCTTAAAAAGAGAAAAAAAATTTTATTAAAAATGAATCGATCACATTTGTAAAACTACGGGACTGACGCAAAGCTGGTTTTGAGACAAAACAGAAAAGTGTACCAAGAGAGACCCTTGTTAGCTCCCCATTTTACGAGGAACCATGAATAACTGTCCTTTATACAAAATATACTACTTTCTATTATTACAGTCTATCTCTTCTTATCGTCTTTTCTAAATTTCCAGATTAATTTCAGATTAATATTGTTTTATCTAATATTTAAACGAATTAATATAGTTAACGTATTATAATACGTATTATAATACATAATGATACAATTACATGCATAGCTTACACATTGAATCATTTAAATCGGAACTTTTTATTGAATTAAACTTGTGTATGAGGAAGATAAATAGATGAAAAATCATATTTTACAGTTAATTTCCAGTGAATTTTTATCTGCAAGAAAGATTTAACGTATCATTAATTTCCGAGATACTCGACATTATTAGAAATCAAGAAACCTTACTAAGAAATTTTTGCTAAGGAAAAATTCTTCGCAAGTAATATTATCGAGTCCCACCTTTTCAGGCGCACCCTGTATACATTTGTCGAGAACGAGAGGAGGCAAAGGATGAAGACTAGAGAAAAGAGGGAGGGGAGGGTGGGAGCAAGGTAGGGAAAAATGGAGAAAAAGGTCGAGAGCGTGGTACGCCGTGCCCAACGAGTAATAAGTTAGTAATAATATTTTCACAATATCTCTCCTGGATTGGATGTTATTTCATTATATTTTATTGCCTCTTACTATTACTCTTGCCGGTGCGGAAACCTCCCTCTGCCTCTCTTCTTCTCCCGTACCGTTCCCCTGCCACCCACTCGCCGCCCAGTCGGCCCCCTTTGTCTCCCTTCGACTACCGCCGGCGTCCCGCGCTTCGTTTTATTATCTCGAGCCTCTCTCCGCACTGAGGGAATTCACTCGCGGAACTCATTATTGAGGGGTTTATTCTGCTGTAACCGTTGCTCGCCACTCGCCTGTACCCCTTTTTCTTTCTCTCCTTTCTTTCTTCCTTTTCGGCCAGACATGTCAAACACATTGCTCGCGAAACGGGCTATCGATGAGGCGGTTGCGCGACTCATCGTTCTCCAAATTCTTACATCCCATTCTCTTACGTGAATAAATTTTCAAATTTATATATATAAATGAATATAAATATTATAATAAAAGTAAAAGATGTAATAAAATGTATAAATTAAATTCTCATCAACAGATATAATACACCGTTAATATCCTTCCAAGAGTGGTAGCAAAAGACACATGTCGCGTTAGGTAAAAATCACCCTACTCTTTACACGAGTAGGAAAAGTCAGTCGACCAATAAATCACTCCATTACTTTGCTCGTGCAATCATCGTCACCGTAGTTATGTATTTCTGGATTAACGTGTCTGAGGGAGCGTGAAGGGTTGCTTGTATTCGCATGGAGCCTATTTTGATCTCTAATTTTTTAGTTATAAGAATCCCACCTGTACATGTGTGTATACATCTAGTTGAAACACTTTAAAAAGAGAACGAATAAAATTTTATAGATACATATATATTAACGGAGGCTTGATTTACAATATCATCATCTTTTTTTACCTGTTATTGTTTATATTAAATTTGTCTACCAATTTACAATAACGAAAATCCTCTTAGACACTAATGTGAAATAAAAATACAAGTATTATATATAATTAGCAATTTATATTATAATCTTAGAAGACACGATTATTTAAATTTTCGACATTATTAATTAATCCATTCGACTTTCGAGCTAATCTCTGGCAGAGCCGTCTCCCGTCGCTCACTTTTCTCAATCGCATCCTTTTTTCTCTGTTTCGTGACAGGCCGGAGGATCGCGGGGAGGCGTCAACGCGCAGACGGACTTCGACGAGAGCAATGCACCCCGCATGGAAAAAGCGCAGCCTCTACTGCGAGCGGTATCGACAGCGTACGAAGACATGTAACGTACAGGTGAGTTGTACCACTCGGGCATTACACGGCCGGGCGCACGTTACAATTTCATGCGGAAAGTTTCGCCTTGATTCCACCTACGTAACGAGCGACCGCGGCGTACCCCCTCATCGTCGGCTTCGATTTTCTCCTCCGCTTAAGGAAGCTCCGTTTTGAAAGCGAGAAACGACTCGCGTTACACGGACGAACAATGCGGACGGAGGGAGCAAAAAAAAGAGCGCGCTCGATATATTATACGGGGTGTCTGGATATATTCTTTCCTGTTAGGCGATGATATTCTGAGTTTAGAATCAAAGTTTAATTTTTTCACGAAAAGTTAATGGAGAATTTTATATATATATATATATATGAAAGAAATTTTTATATATAAATTTTAATTATTAAATATCCTCTTCTTTGCCGACTCTACTCCAGATTATATTCTTGTCAAAGAGGATGAGATTTGAGAGGATTGAGATTTGCTTAAAATTAATAGAAATAGAAAAATATTACGGTCTTATAATATTAGTATAATGAATTCATACACTAATTAGATTTCCATCGTCAGGCGAATTGTAATGTAACTTTGTTCTTTTGTTTAAAGTCAGATATAAATTTGTGAAAGCTATCATATTTTTACGAACGAAATATCAAGCGAGTCCTCGTTCATCGTTTCATCATTCCCTCTTATCTCCAAGATTCATCCTCATTATATATTTATGCACGAAGCTCGATTAACCAGAATCTAACCTCTTCGTTCTATCCACAGTCCGAAAGGAATGACGAACACTCTATATAAATATCGGCGTGAGCGTTGTGCGTATTTGCGCGGTAGGTATATTGCTCGTCGCGGCAGTCATGTGCACAAACTCGGCGACAGAAATAGCGAGTGTTGTCACCGAGAAATTGCGGCGGCCGATCATAAAAGTATTACATCAGCGGTCTGTAATGCCGCGCTCGTGCGCGCGCCGTTTATGCATCGCTCGCGCGCGTATATTATATGCGTTATTGCTGCAACGGGAGAGGCGCAGTGACACAATGTCGATTTGTCGCGACGACGATGCGATCAAACGCGCGCACGTCGTTTTCGCGAGTGTAATCGTCCAAATAGTCGCTCCAACGCTCGCTCTCTATCTCCCCTTTTCGCTCTCTTCGCTGCTTTCCGCGAGAATACATCAAGTCGATCCACTGTGAGAGAAAATCCACCGCTGTGTTCCAATCGGAACGATTGCGTACTGTATCGAGGGAGAGAGCGAATGTCCATTTGAATTAGTCGCGGTACGCGACAATATTTGTCGCAATCTAAATCAGGAGTAATGTGAGAGAGCGTCTCGCGAGAGGTTCGGGATTTTTTTTACGGTACAAATTACTCGAGTCTTTCAGCCGATTACAAGTTTAATGCAGCGGAAAATATATCCTTCGTGTATATACGCGAACGACCTAATCTTCCTTTCTTTCTTAAATGGTTTTAAATGTGGGAGATTTTAGATGAATCATGGAGTTAATCTCGTTAATATGTCATGGTTGGAATACGTGACACTTGTCAATTACATTATCTATTGCGGCTTCGTCCTGTATAATTGAACAATATCCAGATCATTTTAGGACGAATATATTGCGCGTTCATCATTTATATTTCCAATGTTTCAGACATTTATGATCAATGTTACGGAAGCAAATATCTCCGTGTATCGCCTTCTACTTCGCGAGCATAAGTAGGACTTTGTCGGAACGGGAAATAACGGATTTGCGAACGATGTTGGGACGGGCAGGGGGGGAGGGCCATGTATTAATATAAGCTTGGCGTGACTAATACAACAATTTATCCAGCCACGGGTATTTAAATAGTTATGACCTAGGTCGCCGGCAACGAGGCGACGAGCGGCGATTCCGTCACGCGCTAACTCGCGCGAATTGAATTCGCCTCGGCGCTTTCGTGAATTAACTCCCTCGTCGCCCACGCGCCACTCACCGATCGCTGTCTGTCTCTATTTCTTTCTTTCTCCTCGGTCCAATACCCTTTTCACTTGTTCGTCAAAACCAATACGGCCGTTACAACGTTAGGAGAAACATTATTGACGGTTTTGTGGAGTAAAATGTAATCCGACTAACATTCTCGATGGAAATAAATATGATAATATGACGATAGGTAAAATAAGATCAAAACGTAAATGACGTTAAAATTATTGAGGTATAAATATTAGTTAAATTTAATTAGAGTTTAACTGATTATCCATGAACAGAATTAGAACGGGACATGGAATTAGCTAAACCTCAGTTAACTAAACCGATATCTATGGAAATTGCTTTATGTATAATTCGCATGTTCAATTTGAGAGTAATAAATCAAGATTTATTACCTTTCTACGTAGGATGCGCGATTCGACGAGTCTCCGCGTGTTGATCCGCGTGTAAAGCGGTGGATTTTTAAGAGCGATCGAAAATTCGATTCATTATTTTTCCGTTATTTCTCGGCGTCCTACTGAAGCAAAGAGGCCCGCAGCGACAATCGAACTGCGCCCTTCTGTTTTCCGTCCTGCGGAGAGTGCCCGCGGCTTTCCACCCACGGAGCAGGATGTTCCGGTACTCCAGCCCTCTTTTTAATTGTTATATTTATAAGGGGTGGTCTCTCGTCGCACATATGGCGGTTCCTCGGCGCCGGGGCTGGAGAATCCGCTTGTTTTTGGACACAGATACGGCTGGACGTGCCCTTCTTTTCACCCTTCTCCTCTTTCTCTCTGGCGAATCGATACTCGTGAAACTCGGACTCCTCGCGCAATTCAAATGAGTCTTGAGGAAGAGGGAAAGCAATTTTTTAAATATTTCAGTCCCTTTATGTTTGTTTTACGTTTTTCATGAAAAATATTTTTAATAAGAAAAAAAGTTAAAGGCCTCGATGCGAGGGCCTAGAGAGAAATTTTGAAAAGTTGCAATCAATTAATAAATAAAGATAAATTTACGTAAAAAATTACATATATGCAGCAGATTTTCTTTTTTACTTTCAACAAAGTATGTTTTCGAAAAAAATATTTTTACCGCTCAAGTTTTGCTACTTCTTTATGTTCCTCGAGAGAGAAATTTGGCGTGATTCCTACATCAACATCCTCAATAATTAAAACATTTTACGCGACAAGTTAACAAATGAAAATGATATAAGTTGAACACTTCTATTTTCGGCTCTATCCGTGACGTTTGACAAAAAGGTCAGGATATTCTCAGCAGTTGGAATTTCCATACCTCGTTATATCGCGCGGCGTGAATCGCAGCAGTCGTAATACGTCCGTGCTGTCCGGTCAACGCATCCGGTCAAGCGGTAGCAGGAGATCACGCGGCGGCGTTGGTGAATGCTGGGAAGATCGCGCGGATAGACGAAGCGAGCGTGAGGGGGAGACAACGACAGACAGAGGTGTGGGGGAGAGGGCGGAAGGGAAGGAACGGGCGGATGGGGCGAATATTGGACAACTAATTACCTAATCACTCATTATCCACCGCGGACTTCGGGCGCCGGTAGTTCGGCGCGCCAGGTACGTAGATAGAGGTGGAACGGGCTTGCCCGGAGGGCCATTGTGATACACGAAGCAGAATCATGCACGATCGTATATTATCGACGAGAGGACGGGGGACGAAGGGAGGATAGGACGGCAGCGGCCATCCCTAAAACCCACTCTCCCCCTTCTGTCCTCCTCTCCGCGCCCCGCGGCCCCCCCGGTTCCTCTCTGTTGCCACGAGTGCCGAGGACTCGCGCGCGCGTTTAACGTTAGCACGGAATCGGAGCCAATGACGGGGCGGAATCGCGATGCGGAAACGATGCTTCCTTTCTCGCACCTCAACGAATCTCCCCTTCCCCCTCCCCCTCTCTCGCTCTCCTATCCCGCTCCCCCTGTCCCCCTGCCCCGACATTACCGAGCCGACCCCGGGCACTCGCTTCCGCCCGCGCGATTCTCGCCTCTCTCGCTTCCTCGTCCTTTCTCCGTCTTCTTCGATTACTGCTATTTTCGGCCGTCGGTGACGTCCGGAATAGATAACGGTTATCACTAATGCATCGAGCCGCTTCTAATATGGTTCCGGGGCGTTAGTCTGCCGCCCATCGTGCCGCACTCTCGGCAATCTTTCGAAAGAACATTTAGGAAGTAGGAAAAATAAAATATCGCGGTATCGTTACATTTCCAATTACAATCGATTACAAATTTACAAACTTTCTTATGGATCAAGATTCAAAGCGGCAAATAGAGAGAGCTTATTCTTTATTATAAATGGATTTTCTTTGATTTACTAAAGTTTTAATTTGACAATGAATTGCAAAAATAATTACTGCTTAAAATTGAAAAGTCCAAAAATGGAGTATCCAAATATTCTTTAAGAAACATTTTAAGGACTTTGATGACGTTGTGAAAGAAAGAGAAATGAATGCGATGCACGTAGAAATTTATCAATATGCCTCGTATTTCTGACGACGCGTTCCGTCTATTTCCACGACTGTCAGATTGGCAAAGTAATAGCTCTTCGTTAAAAATTCAATCCGTCCTCGTCTCTGATGTCCGTTTCAAAAATAGCTAACTCGTTTTGAACTCGTGTCTTTTTTTCCCGTCATTTTTAATTCGATATGGCGTAACGATTCGCCGATGTGCAGATTTTCCTACAGTCGCCTTAACGTTTATTAATTATTTAGATCGACAACCTATCCTTAGCAAATGAGGAAGATATTAGCCACCCGCTAAATACATTTCTTGCAAATATGTATAAGCGAAACCAAAATATAAATTCTACTTCCAACATTATACCATTTTAAGAACGCGGTGAAAAAATAAAAAAATATTTTCTTTCAAACGTGTCGCAGCTAACTTGACAACTAAACCATTATCCTTTAATCAAAGCTTCATCGAATAATGTGATTGTTTTTTGAACATGTTTTCGAATAATAATTTGCAATCATTTTTTCAATTATTCTTTTCTGCTTGAAATTTTTATATTTTTTAATCCATTGCAAATGAATTTAAATTACTTCACTTGGGTAATGTTTT